CAATGACCGCCCGACTTGTTCCGCACATGTCGTTTCCCTGTATGGTGTTCTGAAATCCAATGAAAAATACCAAATGCTGGCCACTAGAATCAAACACACAATGATTGTTCTCGTCCCATTAGGGAAACTCAAGGCTGAAAACACAACAAGGACTTTTGTCCAATCCAGGTCAAGCATGGGAGAGTAGAGTGTAGGTAGCACACACAGAGTACTGTTCGCTGAGAGGGAGACAGAGAGAATATGTGTTATCTAACCCCCTTTTTTGTTCTCTTTCATTCCCCTCAGCGAGCAGAACCATCCAATTCCAAAGTACTCCTATAATCCAGGTGAGAGAAAGACTCCTTAATCAGCCAATGATGAAATGGGATTACATGTCATTGAAGTGGCTTACTACTCCTAGAGCTCATATCAACCACTGAGCCCTTTTTACTTCTGCAAATGGTCCCTGAACTTTTCGGGATGATGAAGCACTCGGGGATCAGCAAAGTGTTGATTTCAGTATTTTAGCATCTGTCAGCCTTTTTGGGAGAGGGAGCATCCTCCCTAATGTTTTGAGTACACCGCTGCTGCTCTCAGTGGGATCAGATGCACTGTTTTGATATGCACCTATAAAGGATCAATGCAGGAGTTGAGGAGGGGATGCCTGCCTTTATGCATAATTTACAGATACCATATACAATCATTAAAATTGCCAACAATGCACTTCTGATACTGATGAGAGTAGCAGAGGTGACATGTGATTTTTCACAGAGATTTTCAATTTGCGGGTAAATTGCTTGGAGCAGACACTCCGTGATGTGATCATGCAGGTCATACAGCACTCCGAAGCAAAAAAACGCAGTTAATGTATGTTATTTATAGGCTACACCATATACAACACAGTGATGCTAGATGTGCAGCCACCATGAATTACAGCTATTGGCTAGCCGGTAGCTCAGCTGACTCGAGAAACGCCATGCAAACGGAGAAAGACACAAAGTACTACAATCACCATACAGGGCAGGAGCACAGCGACTGAGACGACTGGCACCAACACAAATCAAAATCCCCACAAACCCTCCCCGGACCTCAGTGCTCCTTTCAAATCGTTCAAATGACGGGCTAAGTCTTGGCGACAGCCTGCCTGGACGTCTGCACCTGACTTTACACGGCACGATAAATTCCATCATTTGTCACAGTGGAGGATAAATACCTAATAAGCGACCTCGTAGTGGCTAAACAGCCTGGATAAAATAACAACAACGTCTCACCGGCGACCACAGGAAAAAAATAACTATCTGTACTATAATTGAAAAATAACAACAAACATCACTCACCCAAATGTAACATCGCAGCTCTTCAATCCAGCGACATATGCATTTAAAAACGAGCAGCTCTGCCCAGTTAGCTAGCAAAAACTCACTGGTTGGTATTATCTATTTACAAACGTTAGTGTTATTTACACGACATGTACACTGGGCTTTCTGCCTACAAAATTATTTTACACCCACTGAAAAAATACATTAAAAAAAAAAAACAAGGCTTTAGAAAAGAAAGAGAAAAAGATCCGCAGGTCCGCTTGTTTTTTTCTTTTTTTCTTCCTCTCTTTACATTTTATAGGCTCGCCGCGAGCTTGAAAATCCCCACCGGAGCCGTCGAGCTTCAGTCGGTGACAGAGACGGGCAGAGAGAGCACTTGGTGTACGTGTTCCAATTCAGACGATGCTTTCCGTAGGTTTACACATTTCCCCACTCGCTACTCGGTTTGTCGGCTCCGAGTTGTGCGGCCGGCCATTCATGTGTCTCCGGTTAACGGCGGTAACTTATGTACATAATTTACAACGTACGACTCCGACGGCCTTCGGCAGGTTCTCGTGTGTGCTGAGCGCGCGCCGCCTGCCCGTTCTCACTTGCCGCGGGGCGCATCATCATCATCATCACCACCACCGACCATAGGACGAACAACGGTAGATCACTCCGCCGCTAGAGGGCGGCGCACTACATGTTTATGGCCGCAGCTTGTTATGTAGCTTTAATGCTGCCTTCAAGGCCTCCTCGTAAACTGCAGCAGCAGGGCAGCCGACGTTAGAACCAGCGGGCCTTCCAACCGTCTACGCAGAGACACTCCAGAGAGATTTTATAATAAAAAACTTTACCAGCTGATGAGGGCAAACCAGAGAAGACGCCCCCCCTGACTACGGTGTCTATTATTTCAATAAAATGAAATGAAATGAAAATGAAAAATACTTTATTTATCCCAGAAGGGAAATTCAATATTATTATTAAATATAATATAATATAATTCAAATATTTACACAATAAGTATGTTAACAAATTTATATTGTCTTCACTTGTGTTGCTATAAAACAATAGGTGAAAAAGTGGTCCTCTAAACTTTGACAAATCAAATGAGATCAACTAGATTCTGGACAAGAGATGCTGCTCTGACTTTAACTGACACATAAAAAAGATAACACAGATACATTTTATATATAAAACAAATAACTTTACATTACTAACACTATGCACTCATGCCATTAGAATAATGTTAATTCAGCAGGGATGTTCAGGTGACAAAAAAATTGATGCTAGCTGGCACTACATCAAGCTAATATAGCATTAGCCTAACATGAAGTTAGCTAGTTAGCCTACTAGACAGATAATGCTGTTTTTTTTTCTTTAACAGAATAGCAATTAGACATAAGTACAATACATTAAATAAATAAATAAATAAATAAAAAGCAAAAACAGTAAGCTAAAATAAAGCTATAACATAAGAAGTACAAAGCAACAGTGGCAATGATACTGAAGTAATAAATATCACACAAAGCAAGGAAATATTACAAATGATATTGAACATTTTCACATGTTGCTCTACCTGACATTGTACATGCTACTGAGAAAGTAGTGTTGTGCATGATGTTGATATCAGTGTTCAGTGTCCGATGTTTCAGCTGGTTTACCTGCAGAAGGAGGAGGAATTATACAGTTTAATGGCCACTGATGGAAATCACCTCTTTGCTAACAGTGGGACAAAAATATCTCCCCTTTAACAAGAATAAAACCTCCAGCAGAGCCAGGCCAAGGGAGGGTGGTCATCTGCCTCAGGCAGCTCAGGTGAGGGATAAGGTGAGAATGAGAATGAGGCCAGAGACAGCGATACCTGCAGAGAGGACAAAACACAAACTATGGGAGACAGAAGATGTGATGTTAATGATGTGCAATGGTGGTGTATAAATGTATGGAAAGAGAAAGAGAGAAGAGTAGAGGAGACGTGCTCAGTGCATCATAGAGTCTCCCCAGGGTGCAGGCCTATAGCAGCAAAAAGGATAGTTCAGGGTGACCTGGGCCAGCAGTAACCATCGGCTTTATCAAAAAGAACAGTTTTTAAATATAAACCTGAGCTGTCAGACACATGTTTTGGATGTGGTACAGAGCAGGGTTGTTTCTGCATTGCACCTGGTCATGTACGAAGCTTAGTACTTTCTGGCACGACTTTAGTGACATTATGACAAAACTTGTGGGATTTGCTTACCCGTTGGATTCGCAAATTTGCCTATTGGGGAACTTTACAACCATTAATGTGCATTTTATTCTGTATTTTTGAGCGTGATCTTAAAAGTAGAGTGTCCTACAACCACAGCTGACGCTGGTTTCACACGAGAGAAGCCTAATAGCTGAAGGATCTGCTTCTTATTTTGCTTTTGAAAGCTCAAAAAAACCACAAGTAAGCAGACACTCTGAGAGTAAAGTGCTCTACTGACAAAATGGTACAATAAGGTCATTAGGGTCTAATGGAGCTTGGTCATAAAGGGCCGTGTATGGTAGGAGAAGGATTTTTAATTCAATTCTTGACTTTACAGCGGATAGGAGAAATCCTTTATAGCTCCTGTCAGAACTCTGGCTGCAGCATTTTGGATCAGTTGGAGCTTTTTCAGAGTTACAATAGTACGCCTACAAAGAATATTCAAAGACTTTATTTGATTGATAGATGATCGTATAATCTGAATACTAGTCATGTACTGAATGTGTATATATGTGTGTGCCAGTGGTGGAAGAAGATAACAAACTTTAAAAAATACCACTTTTCTTAAAACTTTTGCAAAGTACCTAACAAAAAAAGAAAAGACTAATCAAATTAAATTATTATTTACTGATACACTCATGTGCATTTTGTTGTTGTAGTCAGCTGTTGTTATCCAGTACCGTAATGTCCAAGCTAAGGATATTTTCTATCTAAGATCTGAAGTAAAAAGAAAGATAGAGTTGTCAAAGTCATACAGTGTTTTCCCACAGAAAGCCCTTAGTAGAAGCACAAAACGTCATAAACTGGAAATACCCAGGTAAAGTACAGCTATCTCGAAAGACTAAAGTACAACTCTTAAGTGAACAAACTTGGTTACTTTCCATCACTCCATCAAAGTGCATCTTATCTCAAATCTAATTTAAAGATAATAAAAATAACAACAGCTTAAATGTGAAAGCATTTTTTTAGTCATAATCTTAGCGATAAACTGCATCATTACTCTGCCTCAGAAACCGACCGTGTGCTCGTGTTCTCTGCCTAAACATTTCAACGTCACATGCTCGAAAGTCAAATTCACGATTTTTACCCCAGCACTCGAAGGCACCATGACACATTTCAATATAACAATGAAATTAAACGCTTTTGTCATTATTTCGTTAAGGTCTACGATTCAACGAGAATGCTATTCCAAGCCATCACTGAAATCACTGTCAAATCATAAATTCTCTATATTTAGTCCGCAGCGTCTATCCCAACCTGAGCATATGTTCAGTGAAGTAAATGCCTTCAGGAGGATGAACTGAGTAACCCCATTAAGACTTGGACGTTTGTCGCCCTCTGGTGAATTTCTTCAAGTATGCCAGGATCACTCACAATAAAAAAAAACAAACCTCAACAAGAATATTCGGATTATTTCTTTTATTCATCATTATTGTCACAATACAAACACAGGCTTTAATGTTTTGTAAAAAATAAAAAATAAAAATAAAGACACTTGGGTAACCTAATCTACACAAAAACAGCTAAATAAAACGATGCCTCTAACCGTACAGAAAAACAAAACGAGTGTATAGTTCTTTACATTTCCTACATGTAACGCTTGCGAGAGGCCGAGTGAATACATTCAACATTAAAAAAAACAAATCACAACCACACGTGTAGATCGAATCTTTAAAACAAAGCACTCAGAGGACAGAAGCTCGCAGGCCTGAGACAACATTGAAATCATTGGTGGTGTTTTGATAAACTCACATCATTAATCCTTTATTTTTTTCTGTTAAAGTATTAAAATAAATATATATTTTTTTAAAAGGACAATGACCCCGGACAATTTTTTTGTCTCAAGAAATCTGTAAACATGTGGTAAGCAACAACTGCTGTGCATCAAAGAAACCATGATAGCGAACACTAGGAATAACATTATCACTCAAATATATATTACAGAATGAAAATATATTAAAGTACATAAATATAAAATCTGTCCACAGACCTGGTGCTTCGGACCAACTAGTAGAGTAGCTCAAAAGTTTTTCTTATGCTGGCGTGGATTAGGTTTCCCAGTGCCGTAACGTGAAACCAGTTAGTGTGTCTCTTTCCTGCTTCCAAGAATGCAGCGCTTAAATATTCCTGTTGCTCCAGCACAAAATATTGACACCCTACAGGCAGTCTGGAAGAGAGGAAATATGTCAATTTCCTATATTAGCTTTGGAAGACCTACTCCAGCTGTATTCATTCACCAGTCCCTCTTACACTTTGGTCACCAAGCATTTGGACTTTCAAGTTTCCCATAACCTGACCTTTTTTTTTTTCTTCTTTTTAAAAAAAATTTAGTTCTACAACGTTACTCCAGCTCAAACATGGCTCACAAAGCTTAATTCACAAATCCTCTACTACAGGTTCCAGCAATCAAGTCAAGACAATCTTCTCATTCAACTCATGTCTACGCCATGAGAGGGAAAATAAAAAAGTTTATTTGCGGCCCAGATCTTAAATGGTTTCAGCCATTTAGCAGCTCCTTGGCTTTCTAACAGTCATTCTGTCTCCCTGCTTGTTGCTCCAGGTGTTACGCATGCGAGAGAGTACCGGGCAGAATCAGGCTTCCAGTGGTGTCCGCAGGGGAATGCAGCCATCCATCTCCAGAGACTCGGGCCAGCCTTCGTACTTGTTGCTGCTCTTACTGTTCTTCATCCGCTAATGGGAGAAACCACAGGCAAACAGCGCTGATGTCAACAAAGCAGACTGGGATCCGGTTCTCATAGCATAGCAGCTGATCATTCACTGACTGCAGACCAAAAAGATTTTTAAAGCCATATGTGATTCAGCAGTTAATAGTCACTGTGGATTCGTTTTAGACTCAGCAAAAATGTTTTCCAAAGCATATTTGGAGTTTTCAGATTGCCAATATCCCACTTTTCTATAAGCACTTCTATGACTGTAGAAGTTTTCAGAACAGCCCCTTTTAACTGTACTATCATGGAATGTTGCCAAACAGGGAAAAAAAAAAAAAAGTTTACAGTGTTGATCGGGTTTGTAAAGTGAGCCGTACAAGTTGTCTATAAATCCCCTTTCAGACATTCTCTTCTCTCTGGTAATCGGACGGCATCTGAACGTGTCGGCTTCGTGTCTAAATGAGCACTCTTGGTGACTTTTCCGTAAAATGGCACTCTTATGAAGTCGACTTTATTACATTTCAGCATAACTCTCATACGGCACAAGTATGAACAGCATGCAGGTGCATTACCAGATAGGAATGCTCAAGCTATGCACTTCAAGTTGTGTGAAACTACAATACTGGTCAAAATGCCTCACAGAGAGCACAAAAGACACAGTTAACGTGCCTTTCTCATCAATTCTACTCTACAATTTCAGATCTATTGCTGACTGCAATATCTTATAAATAACTTTGTTCATAATTTATAAGTATAAATTACCCCCAGCTTGGAGAAAGGATTAGTCAGGATCTAGCAGCATGTCACAATGTGTACATTTCTTCACTTGAGACAGGTGAGCTGTCACACACAACCACAGTTTAAAAGCTACAGGTAGATCATTTGTTACAAAGCAGATTTAGATTTAGTTTTAGATTTATTAGTGCATCATTTTTATTGTAAAAAAAGACCTATGTCTGAATGACAGAATGCCTAATGAATAACATTGCTGAAGCCAGGAATGTTACATATCTAATATCTAAAAAGGGCTTCAGCTGCTTAAAGAGAATCCACGTATTTGACCTTTTTAAGACATTTAGGCTTATTATGAGTCATTTGCAAACTAACAACCGGTGCCAGCTGGTAGACATCATTTTCACTTCACGGTGTAACATTGGCTCAGTCACCAAATACAAGCTACACCATTTATAATATCGTGCAAATTTTGGGGTGGAATGAATATTTAAACAACAATACCATGATACATTATTTATACACGACTATGTATATTGCATTCGCTTGCAGTATTGGTTTATCTTGTCTTTATTATATTAGATATCAATATAAATGAAATCTCATGCTTCCAAAAAAACTACCAAAGCGTCTCTGAAGGGGGGCTTATTATTTCATTTAGAACTGGTAAGAAGAAAATGATATATGAACAGGAAAACCTGGAGGCAGAATAACTAAATTGTGAGCAGATCCATAAACAATAGCCAGCAAAAGAAAATTGTCCCAAGAAGCAGAAAAATCATTATTTTCGAAACAGAGGTTACGTGAACATGGAAATAAACCGGGTGATTTACTCTCAAAGCTTTTAAAGTGACTCTAACTGCTACAATTCAGTTGCGTATCTCAAAGACCTCATATGGAAAATGTTTCTCTTGGAAGGAAATAATCCCATATTTTACCAATTACAAATTCCAATACACATCAGAAATACATTACAGTGACAATGCTTAGATCTACCACCAACAAATGAGCAACGTTAAGAGGTTCTGAATGAATCAAGGACATTTGCAGACATAAAAGAAGCTATTGATAATAATGAATGTGGGAAGGCTACTGGGTCCTTATGGCTTTCTTACAGAGCTACACAAAGTATTTAAAGACACTCTCACTCTAATGTTTGAGTAAAATGAGGAATATTCTTTCCTGAATCAACACAGACGGCTACAGTCACCTAAATAGTGAAGCGCTAATTAGTTTGAAATGTGCTAATGTAGGGCGGTTATTGGGAGTGTTTTACTGCTGAGTGTTTTGCATCATGTCTCTTTGGGCAACAGATTTACAAGTTGGGTGAAATTACTGCATATCACACCACAAACAAATGCTACAGCTAAGCATCTTGCGTTATCCTGGTTTAAACCTATATGTGGCACCGGTCAAAGCTGTCCACTGTCCCCTCTCTTGTTTTTTTTTTGGCTGAGGTTGAATACACCCACAACTTAATGGCATTACTGGAAGGAAAAATAAGCAGTTCTTATGTTTCATATGCAGATGATACTGTTATTTCTCTGCAATTAATTCCAGCTGTGCTCGTCTTTTTTCTGGCTATACAATCAGTGTGGGCAAATCCACCGCTGTACCACTGGGAGGTAGCGAAGACCCAAATAACAGCGTAACATCGCAATTTAATTCATACTACAATGGCTATAAATACTCGGAGATCCATATTTCCTACTGACTGGAATATTTGGTTAAGATGGATTTGTCTCCTATGCATAAACATGTTAAACTAAATTCACAAAGAAGGTTGGCACTTCCAATTTCCCAGCTGCAATGGATAGCTGTTATCAAAATAATACACTCCCTAGATTTTGCATCACATACAAATGATACCAAACACCATAACAGGGAGCAATTTGAAAGATTTGCATAAAATCATGTCTAAGTCTATTTGGAGTAATGGATATCCTGAAATGAGACTGGCGAAACTCAAACTGCCAGCAGTAAATGTAGCACCTGCAATACCAGACTTTCAGTATTGTAATTGGTCAATACGGTTGAAAACCTGACCATGATGGTGATTAAATCAGCAACAATTACCAGGTGTTTGTAGCAACTTGTTTTTGAGTAATATCCTTGGTTCATGAAGTAGTGCAAGAAGAGCATTTTCCATCCAAAGAGCTTTTTTATGCAGCATCTGTTGATAATTCTAACTTTATTCTGTCTTGTGTTGGTCCTAGTTTTAAAGAGCAGAACACATTTGGAATCCAGCTGATAAAAAAGCCTTTATGAACATAGCATTAAAAAAAAACAAAAAACGACTTCAGCAAGAATACAGTGTAAAACACACCGTGTCAGATTTTTACATTTTTTTCTTAAACCCACATATATGGAAGGTCACAGACCAGTGCTGCTTCATGCACTTATTCCTCAAGCCTTTCTGCTAAAAAGGAAAAAATGAGCTTCATTTACCATAAATGTTTTTCTTTAAGTAATATCAGTGCTCTCGGCATTAGGCAATCATGGGAATGGACCCTTTAAACTACTACTGTTAATTAGTGATCAACAATAGTAAACAATCATATTAAATAATATAACAATATTAAACAAATACAAGGAAATAAAGTTGTCATAAAATAAAATAATAATTAAGACAATATGACAGTGACTGTTCTAGTATATGTGTAAAGTGTAAGCCAACATGTTGGCAACTGTGGGCATTTATTGTGGATCTGTCTGGACATTTCAGGTTTAAATTCCTAATCAAATATTATCCATAATTCGTTCTCCTGCTGAACTTAATCCCCTACATTGTATTGTTGGCTTCAGGGTATTAAACCATCTGTTTCAAATTGATTTAACATTATTCTACAACTCCCCCCATTTGAAAGGCTCACATATGTTCGCCAAGGAGACACAAATGGGTTTTCTCTGTCTGGAGCCTCGTCATGGATTCTATTAGAGAGGAATATGCGGAAATCATATTAAAGGGTTTTGCAAATTTGGGATCCAAATCATCAGCAAAGGGTGAAGTCCATCCGTCCATTAACATTTTATTGTTATTGTGTCCAATAGAGGATGATGATTCATGTTTGTGTTCTTTGCTTGTCTCTTTTCATCGGTTGGTACGAATGTTTGTATAGCAAGTTGCTGTCAGGCTCCGGTATCTGTGTTATGTGCCTTTATGTGTATAATGTGTATAAACTTGGACTGACAAACCAGATGTAAACCTTGGTTATAAGTCCGCCATTTCCTCTATATGTATCACAGGCTTTCTCTTCCTGTACTTATGCACATGTTCCACCCAAACAATTTCCTCGTCACTATATTGCAGGGGTATCACTGCCACATCCTGGGCCTAGCACTGCCCAACACAGTGATTTGGTTTAAGGAAACACAAACAAACCAGAGCATTTTTCCCCCTATAGCTGTATGACAATGAGGTGCAGCCAAACTATTCGCCAGCGCTGTGGAAATATATCTGGCTATGCAGGACCAGAATAAACTGAAAATTAAATAACTGAAAGAATAAATGCATTTCATAACGCCACTGAAAACATCAAATCTCAATCACACCGTCTGGTAAGTCCATCAAAAGACACACAGCATTTCGATACTCGGCCTCTGATCAGAATTATTAATGTTAGTGACGTACCTGCTCAAAGGGGCTCTTATTTTCAATACCCTTGGCTCCAACAAACACCCAGCTGTCTCTGAAGGCTAGCTCCTTCACTGCTGTGCTCCCGAGCTCCTCAAACAGTCGTCGGGATTCATCGTTCATCCTGCCACCAAAACAATAACAACAAGCTGATCGACAGATTTATAAAGTGGTAAATGTGTTTATAATCTAGCCTACAATGTGCACTTTTACAATTTAATAAACTTTTGCAAGTTAGGGAAACGACAGTGTTGCATACTTGTTGAATGTAAAGAAATGTACATTAAAAACATAAAACGGCAAGTTTAAACTGACTGAGCCGCGCCTCAATAACAATAAAATGCAATCGAATATAATCCATTTACTTGCTGATTCTTGTAAAAGTGGAGTTTACAGTTTTGGCTGCATATTAGCTCTGCTGCTGTTTATCCTCTTAAAATACATTTTTCAATTTTTTCTGTGACACAATAACAAGATTTATACCATAAAATATCCTTAGGTTTAGCTGAAAACCTATCTGATAAATTGCTTTGTGTGCACGTATAACATGAGGAGTGCTGAACTGGAACGAATCCTGGATTCTTACTTTGTAGCTGCATCATCAAAAGAGGCCACAAACACTAGGGTTCCCTCATGAAGCGGCCGTAGAAACTTCAACAGGTCAGAAACATCTGAAAATGTACATTAAATGAGCTACGAATTGTGGCTTATGAGTTGTTATTGCCAAGCCATATCTACCACCAGATGTGAAATTCATACTAAACATTAATGTCTGGTTCTTATTACCTCCTGCCCACATATCAAAGGTTTTTGTCTCCAAGAGCTCGCCTGTCACCCCTGGAGCAACAAAACATCAGATAGATGTTAAAATACCATGATTAGAAGTTGGAAATTTAATAAAACACAGTCTGTCAATAGTTGAAGGACGACACTCTTACCATTTACTAAAGCTATGTTTAGTCCCCTGCCAACATTGTTCTTCACACTGCTCAGCAACCTGGTAGAAATACATCTCAAGCTTTACACATGCACATTAAAGTACACACTAAATGACATCACCTGACACTAAACACAACACATACAAGAGGGGTCAAGACTACAGACAAAACTGAAGAGATGAGGGGCCAACAGACTGAAACAATACTTGCATTCAACTCCCAAGACAGACTTGGAGGCCTGACAGCACAGAGGGGAAAAAAAACAGAACAGAGTGAAAAAAACAAACAAACAGACAAAGCAAACAAACAAACAAACAAAAAGCAGGGGAGACAAGGACATAGATGAAGAGAAAGGAAATGGTAAGCGCTGAATCTCACATCTTGTCCTCCAAACAGATTTTGGGGCCGATGACATTGGCAGCACCGGACACCAGGCGGAAAGCCAAATGCTTTGAGGGACAGGGGGCTGAAAGTCCACATTTATACTTTCGTGGCCGAGGTTCTAAAGAACACGATACATCAGTCAGCGGTGATAAGAATTAAGATAAGGATACAGCTTAACCTCTAAGGAGTGGAGTCATGCTGTACTTACCAGGCGTTGGTTCCTCGCTTGTACCTGAAAGAAATGAACAGGTTTCACCGTCAAACACTCTAATCTCATACGCTTTATTTAATGATTGTCTTCACAAGGCCTCTATCAAACATGCATCGAGATTAAACTCACATGTATAACTTGTATGTAAGGTCGCTAGCTACAAAAGTCCGCGTCTAGTTCCTAAATTGTCAGAAATCGTTAAAAATGGTGATTTGTCGGAGCCCATGGTGCTTTCTTTCCAACTGCTAGTGTTGCGTGTTTAACAATACAAAACAAAAAATGAGAAAACCCCCACACTCTGACACGTGACAAGCTAGAAGCATACATTTTCACTGAAACTGTCAATCAGTTAATTAAATAACTGTTGCAACACTACCTGTCTTACCGCTAAAGAAATTTCGCACTGAGGCATTTTCCCCTCCGAATAAGGCGCTCGCCAGCAGCCAGGTGAGTCCCACCAACAGCAACACAGCCACAGCTCGCAGGGGGCCTGTCAGGAGAACCAGCAGGTCAGGAAAAACTCATATAGTCACCCACAAGAACAACAAGTTCCCCATTGACAGGAGTCATTTCCACATACCTGTTAACCTCATGATTCACCGCCTGGCAGACCTGTACAGGGGGGAAAAAAGCAGAGACGTCAGGATGCTGGGAATTTCAGCCAAGTTATATTTTTATAAGAAGATTTACTTTTTGCCATAAACTTTATTCAGTTTTCCTTTTTTTGTTGGACAGAAGTTATTGGAAGGAAAATAGAAAGGACAAGCACGGCAAAGAAAATAAAGGCCAATACAATAGTGTTGTGTTTTAGGGTTTCAATGAAGACACTGTAGTGCAGGAAGGCAACTTTAAAGACTTCACAACTCTTGAGGGAAAAGTGTAGGGATAACACCATTAAAACAACGACGTTTGCTATCCAATTAGCTAGAGGTCAATACAGCCAATGTGACATTTTTTTTTTACCAGAAACTTAAAGTTCTTGGGGTTTTTTTTTTTTTTTACAGTGGCCATGCAAGATGGCACTGCAGAGATGACGTTTTAAGCTTATGACATGAACCCAAACCACCACAAAGACAATCAATAATGCTTAAGTCATTTACGACATTTTTATTTGCCTATATCTACACTTAAAAATAAGCAACGACAGATCTTACCGACTTGGTCCACGCTTAAGGCGAGTATCGCCTTGTCTCGTCGCCTTTGCTGGGATGAAGCGGACGGTAATGAGGAGCTGTTGCTCTTGTCACCCCGCACTTTTACTGTTTATGGCGCTGTTTCCTCATTGAAACGCTGCTAATAAAAATAAGCTTTCGGCAAGGAGACAGGCTGAAGTCAGTGTGCTCAGTCGAACTTTTATTACTGCGCTTTCGACAAGCATGGAAAAAATTATGTTAGGTTTATGTCATTTGTCTTCCGGAAATATAGGTCCAGCCCCAACCAGTGAGCACGGAGTCTGCGCAGATAGAACCACGTGACCAAGTTTAAACGAGAGAGGCCCCTCCTAGTGGCACTGACAGGTAGTGGAGCTCCACTGGCAGCCTGTGGCACCTTTCTGGGAGTCTCTGGCACCTCAGTGGTAGTTTGCCTATTGCACCACAGGGGTAATTTGTAGCCACTTGTGGCAGTTTGTGGCATTTCAGTGATACTGTAGTAGCAGTTTTGGCCAAGTTGTGACACCTCAGTGGCAGTTCTTGGCATTTTAGTGGACGTTTGTGGCACCTCAGTTGCACTTCGCAGTAGTCTGTGTCACCTTTTTGGCAGTCTGTGGCAGTCTGTGGCACCTCAGTGGCAGTGTGGGGCAACTTGTGCTACCGAAGTGGCAACTTGTGGCATTTCAATATAATTTTGTGGCATCTCAGTGCCAGTGTGTGATGGTCTGTTGCACCTCAGTGGTAGTCTGTGGCGTCTCAGTGATACTGTCCTGGCAATCTGGGGCAAGTTGTGGCACCTCATTGACAGCCCGTGACACCTCAGTGGCAGTTCTTGGCATTTTAGTGGAAGTTTGTGGCACCTTATTTGTACTTTGTAGTAGTCTGTATCACCTTTTTGACAGGCTGTGGCACCAAAGTGGCAGTTTGTAGCAACCTGTGGCACATCGGTGGCAGCCTGTGGCATTTCAGTGGCATTTCTTGGCATTTTAGTGGAAGTTTATGGCACCTCAGTGTCCGTTTGTGGCGGCCTGTTGCACCTCAGTGGCATTTCAATGTCCCCTCAGTGCCAGCCTGTGGCACTTCAGTGGCAGTTTGTGGTGCTCTCTGAGAGCAGTGTTGGGCCACAAGATGCCACAGGAGTGCATCGACTGGTGGTCAGACACTGACACAAGTGGTATAAGAATTTAACAGGTGAATTAAAAGGAAGAAAGAAGGGCAAAATTCACTAGTGTCAGAGGGTACTATGGTGTTTTAAACAGTAGATGTAATGGAAATGGGAAAAACAAATGTGTAAATAAAACATTTAAACCATGTACCCACGTTTTTTTATTGTATTTATTAAGTAGCTTACTGGTCGCTAAACGTATGTTTGCTCAATGAAGCTGTGTTTATTCAGTTAAATTACATTAACACAAATTAATTTTAGCAGTAACAACAGGGAACATCGTGTTCTTTATTTTAATTTACTTTTATTTTATTCTTTTCAAAAAATGGGCGATAGCATTAACTCGTTTTGGGGGGAAATTACGTAAAATTTATATAAAACAAGCAAAAAAAAGTAGAATGCGGTTGCTCAACATCCATCCTGAGACAGACCCATGGTTGTGGGTTGGGAAATATATATGAATATATACATGATGTAATAACTGTATTATATATAAAAAATGGATTCTAATGTTTCATATTAAATAGTCACAAAATTCTAAATAAATATATACATAAATATCTATACACTACAAAACAGTAAATAGCTATTTGCGCGAGCACAACCCTTCCTTCTCGTGCACGCGCCTCCTGCCTCATTCTCAAGATGGCTGCCCACAGTGCTGTTCTCTCCGCGTCCAAAATCATTAATCCTTTCTGGGGTGGACGCCTCGGAAATACGGTTAAAGTAAGATAAGACACGTTGCTTTTCTTCTGCCGGTTATATGTGTTGCTGTGTGACTCCAAACTGACTGATCTCCGTTATTTTATTTCATCACAAGGTCACACGGTTAAGATCATACAGCTGAATTAGCAAGCTAACAGGCTTCCTCCACATCTGCGAGCTGGTCGCATTAAATGTTTAGACCCAGTGGTTACTAACAGGCTCTATTTGTTCTGTTTTGCAGGTATTTGGAACAACTCTGACCAGTCACAGGAACAAGACGCTGCTGACTGTGAGTGAATCAGTGTGGGTCTCAATCTCGTCAGAATGAGTACATGTGATTTTGTCAGTTTATCACTTTTGCTACAGAATGAGTACAGTATTATCAGCATATGGTGCCTTTATGACATAAAATCACGGCTACTCATTAAACTCCTTATTTCCAGGCTGTATGGCTTTGGATTAATCTTTGGAAGCGGTTTGGTTGTCTGTGTGTCTTTTTCATTGCAAAGTGCGAGTGCTGTATGTGTGTGTTTTCACTCTCTTGGGCGAGTAGAGGCTGAAACACCTCTGGGTTTGACACTGTTTGGATTTATCGTGTCCTTCTATGCAGCTGTCAAACTGACTCTTGTCCTTCTGCTTCCCTTGCTGTCCATCTTCATCAACAGGGAGAAAACATTGTAAGTATCTGACTGCTGACACTCTGCTGGATTGCAATGCATCACTTCACGTACAAGAAAGAATATTTTCTTAACTAGAGTTGTGATGCAGATTAAGTGGACGTATAAGAAAAAGAAGACCACTTGTATACGTCACAGAATCACTTGAGTCATTGAAAGTCAGCATGTCAGATGGATTGCATGGGGTCTCAAACCGGGTCTGTCGTTTTCTGCTAGAATTAACATCTAATGCACAATTAACAAAGTTGTTCTTGACTCACAATATTAATCATTCTAAATTATATTATAACTCTATTAATAAAGTGCTTAGCCCTAAATTATACTCTTAATTGTTTAACCTTCCCCTCGCGCACTTACTTCTTTGTTGCTTTGGACCTGTAGTGGTGGTTATTCATTTTATTTTTAGGCCATGAATTATAAATTGTGTGCATTTTCAATATTTACTACATTTCCTATGAGTATTCTTGTTTCATTCCATGACAGCATGACAACTTTTATATATTTGAAAATTGCTTGACACGGTCAGTCCACCTTAGTGAACATTGCTCCACATTATTTTTTGTCATTAAGTAAGCATTTCACGACTAGTTACATACAAACAGTAATGTCTGTGTCCATGTTTGTATATCATCTGCCCTTCGATTGTGAGTACAGTAACTTCTCTCAGCATGATTAGATTTGGGGTGTCTCAGCATACGGTATAAGATCCCTGCTTGTAGCTGTGCAGGCAGACGGCAGCTGACAAAAATAAAAACTAAATATGTATTGTGATAGATGGCTTCAGGGGATTTCAAGTCTGCACAAGGTGACTTTTACATTGTCCAGATATTTAATTTTAAAAGTGGTGTTTTAGAAATCAATCTAAAACTTGTAGCATAACCGCAGTGATGCAAATATGTAAATAAGTGGATTCTGGTTTTAGGATTAAAAGTTGCAAAATCACTAGTTTTGTTTCTTATGCTCACTGAAGCTCATTAAGATGTTGAATGTAAATATTACAGCCCCCTCCTGCAAAGTATGGAGGCAGACACACTGTGACCCTCATACCTGGAGATGGAATCGGTCCAGAGCTTCTGAATCATGTCAGAGAGGTTTTCAGGTTTGTGAGACTTTTAAGTAAATCTGGTTAAAAAGTTATCCGCTACACACAGGTGACGACTGCCTCCATTGTGTGGTTTGCAAACATGCTGCAGGTTCAGTTGTGTGCCAGTGGACTTTGAGGTGGTGCACGTCAACTCTGCTTTGGAGACGGAGGATGACATCAATAATGCCATCACTGCCATCCGCCGTAATGGAGTTGCCCTCAAAGGTATTCCTTTTTTTGTGTGTGTGTGTCACAAACAGCGTGAAAATATGGAATGGGGCACACATCTGTGAGTAGCATGTGGTTTACAATAAGATCATGATACTATAATTTAACTGTGAAATTGCTCAACTCTCCTGATAGGTAACATAGAAACCAAACATACCATGGCGCCATCTGTCAAATCCAGGAATAATCTCTTGCGGTAAGGTTATACGAAGTATTCAGTTCCCTTGATGAAAGTCCTCTTTTCTCAGATGCCTCACATTTCTTCCATAAATTGGTCCTTTATGTCTGTGTGACCTTTTGTTTTTCTGTCCTCGTCTTCCATGTGTGCATCAACAGCACAAGCTTAGACCTGTACGCCAATGTGATGCACTGTCAGTCCCTCCCCGGAGTCCAGACTCGTCACAAGAACATTGACATCATGATCATCAGGGAGAACACAGAGGGAGAGTACAGCAGCCTGGAGCACGAGGTCAGACAGTACAGGAAAAACAATCAATTCTGCCATCTGCTGTAATACATGATCGTGCTCCCTCCTTTAAAGACCTTTTTCTGCCCCTTTTAGTTCTATCATAAAGTGGGAGTTGAGTACCATACACTATCATCTATGCAAAATTCATTTGCCAAATGCAAAATGAGTGTGCAGAGCCTATTGTGGTAATCTGACACAGCTGATTAATGCTGACCTTATTGAACAGACTAGAACATAAAGTCTATAGACTTTGCTGTATTCTGTCTATATATGTGTACATGTAAGAAATCCTCACACTACTTTGCACTACTTTTTACCATTTGCGCTTTTACATTTGATGCATGCCAATAAAGTTGAATCTAATCCAGTGTAAATTGAACGGACATTGGAAATGATCAACTGCCTTAAACGCTGTGATGCATTGCATTGGATAATTGTTGTGCAATCATCTAAGTATACTGCATCTATCAGGACCAAATAAACATTGTGGCTCAGGTGGTAGAGCGAGTCGGTCAATGATCGGAAGGTCGGCGGTTCGATTCTGCCCTGTAACCTGTGTCATGGTCGTTGTGTCCTTGGGCAACACACTTCACCCACCTTGCCTGGTGTGAATATGTATGAATGGATTGTTTGAGGTGGTGGTTGGAGGGGCCGTAGGCGCAGAATGGCAGCCACGCCTCTGTCAGTCTGTGGCTTCAATCGTAGCTACCACCACTGGAATGAATGAATAATTGACAATGTAAAGTGTCTTTGCTGTCGAAATCTGATCAATTATTATTACATTCTTTTTGGGCTTTCTAGACTCTTGTATTACTCAGTAGTTGAACTTTAGTTATTTATTTGTCATTCTCCCCACTGTCGTGTTTCAGAGTGTGTCAGGAGTAGTGGAGAGTCTGAAGATCATCACCAGGAACAATTCCCTCCGGATTGCTGACTATGCCTTCCGACTGGCCAGGGAGAAAGGTCGCCGCAGAGTCACTGCCGTGCACAAGGCTAACATCATGTAAGTTCCTGTGAGGCAAATGTATCCTGTCATAGCAGTTTGGCCTTCTGTCTTACATAACGCAGTGAGTTTCTGTGTGCTAGAAATGTTGAGTGTGGCATTTCTGTTTCCACAGGAAGCTTGGTGATGGCTTGTTTCTGCAGTGTTGCAGAGAAGTGGCCTCTGGTTACCCAGACATCACCTTTGACAGCATGATTGTGGACAACACCACAATGCAGGTGAGAATTGCTGACGTTCTAATGCTTTGTAAATGTTCCTCGACCTGAATGATTTACCTGCCACTGTTTGTTTGTGTTTGTAGCTGGTGTCCAAACCTCAGCAGTTTGATGTGATGGTGATGCCGAATCTGTACGGGAACGTGGTTAGCAATGTGTGCGCTGGCCTGGTGGGAGGGCCTGGCCTTGTTCCTGGAGCCAATTATGGCCGAGACTATGCTGTTTTTGAAACAGTGAGTGTTTGGAAAATAGCCTTTTGGTGAAACACTGTTCCATCTGATTTTTGAAGGTTGAAAAATGCTTTATTTGTATCCATCTGACACATTGTAATTTTGTTTCTTTTTTTCAATCTCAGGCCACAAGGAACACAGGAAAAAGCATTGCGGACAGGAACATTGCTAACCCCACTGCCATGCTGCTCGCTGGCTGCATGATGCTGGACCATCTTAAGTAAGTTTTCCCAGATAGAATAGATAATTCCATACTTCCCTGTAGTTTAAGATGAGATGTAATGTTGTGACTGTGGTATACTTACATTATAAATAATTCTCCTGTATTTGTCCAGGCTTTACGATCATGCAAGTTCGATCCGGAATGCAGTCCTCACCACAATGAATGAAAACAGGGTGAGTCTTTGATCACTGATAGGCCTTTCCCCTCACCTGTCATGCTACTGTCAAGCTACCAGGTCATCAGTGTGAGACACTGGATTAGAGGTCCTGGTGGCAGGTCTGGCATGCTTCCTAGAGGGCATCACAATACAGTCACACAAAGCAGCATTGTGTCGTTTCACTGCCACTAAGCTCTTATGAAGTTCTACACTGTACGGTATCTGATCTCACACTGTGTACATCGGCATTAATTACAGTCCTTGAGTTCATTTCTAAACCTGATCTGCCTATCATCTACAGCTGCAGACTGGTTGCTGCTTTAGCTCGCTCTTTTGAGAAAAAATATGTGATATTTTATCTTCCTTAGTGGAAGACTGATTAGTACGTAAATTCAGTATGTGGCAGGAGACTAATTTCACAATGTTAAAATGGTGATTTTAACTTTTTTTTTTTTGTCTTGCAGTTGCAGACAGCTGATATCGGGGGTCAGGGCACCACGTCAGAGGTGGTTCAGTCTGTCATGAGGATCATTCAGAGTAAAGGACAGCTCACCGCAGACCTCTGAACAACCACACAGTTATCAGTGGCCTGAGTTTAAACAGGTGTCTGCACCCAGGGCAGGTGTGCAGGATGTGAGACGATGTCCATGCATGTCCATTTCCATAGCGTCAGGTCTTTTTTTCTGGTTCACACGGCCTACTGACCCGGTAAACTGAACAAACACCTTTTTATCCACACCTGTGTGTTTCACACATAATAATGACTTGTAAGAGACTCATTTACTTTTGTTTACTTTTGATAAAATTCCATTATCACACCACACTTATTAGATAATAAATGCTGGAGGTTATACACTTTAAAATCCATATCCTTACAAATTGTTATGAAATGGAAAAAGCAGATACTGTATGTCACCAACCACATGTTGGCGTAGGAAATACTGAATATATGCAAATATGAGCATACATTGACCTCGACATTGTATTTATTTTTCAGATTTTGACTATGTTACAGCCTTTCAGTCGTCAGCCAAAATGTGCAATGTTTGTTTAACTGCTTAACTTTCTTTATCATACTGTAACTTAAATGTCAAGTTGCCTTGTACATACTGTTATGTCCTTAACATTCACATCATGTTAAGTGTACTTCTATATTATCAGATCAGGGGTACCTCAAGTAATTGCTGCCAAAGCTAGATAATATCACAAGGTTACACTGTTGTCTTTAAGTCTTAACCTGGCAAGTGCTCTTAAAGGCTGATATGAAAAAATGGTTTCATTGTGTTTGTGGGTGGGCACTTATACTGTATGAGATAACTATTATCAATAAAGTAATAATCTACTTCAAAAACTGAAGCATGAGTTGAATAACTTTCAAAGCTAAAATAAACAGATTGACGGTGCACACAGTTGCCAGTTTATTAGATATGATCAGCTGAAATGAATATGGTCCAGTGAAACAGTCCCAAAATAAATCCTTCCAATTTGAATGTTCTTGAAACCAACAAAGATTGTAGTTTGTGGCATATTGCACTATGCTGACAGGTGTTATTACTTACTGTTGGTTTGGACTGCATGACTTCCAGCGAGGTCTATCAGCTGAACTGGCAACTGACTGCGTAGATCCTTTATAAACACCAAGGTCTTATTGCTAAGATCAGTGTTCTCGATTCATTGCTTCAAAGAAAAGCTCTGCTTTGGGCCTCCTGCTGAGGATAAAGATTATTTTGCTCCAAATAAGATAAAGCTCACTGATCCTTCCGTTTGTTTTACAATTTCATGCTCCATCAACATCTTTCCTACAACACTGGATGACAAGCTGCTCTTTTGTATTTCATCACTAGGTGGCAACACCACTTTCTGGAACTGCTACTAAATGACTCGGAGAACAAATATTCATAGCGGCATGCATATGTGCTTCTGTACATACACTTTCTAACAAGGACAAAATTCAGAAAATTCAGTGTGTGCTTTTTCTGGATAATTGTGTTATTACTGCATTGCAAAAAAAAAGCTGCAGGGAAATTGTGGATGCAGGAATCTCTGGCAGGCCGACTTCTCCACATAATTGAGAACATTAAGATAATTCTTGTGTTTCTTTTTGTGTGATTTCTAGGAATCATACTTTTGGCCTCAAGCTTTGTGTTTCTAAGACAAATGTGAAGTATTTTGGCTTTGCCTTCTGTTCCAGTTATCCCAATTTAGCATGAAACCCAAATCATTTATTATATTTTCACCCTGCAGATGCAAACAATTAATTATTGTTTCATCTAATTATTTAAAATGCTCTGACCATGCAGTCGCATTGAGATAAAGTGCCTGGCTCCTCTGATAAAGCAGGAGGAGGAGCAGATAAATGTATCGCAGTACATCATTCAGCACCGACTTTCTGCTCACATATATTGTGCAAGTAAGTGCAGTCCGCCCTCCCTTAGTCATTGAGGCACATCTCACTGTGATGATACTGACCAATTTATCATCTGTCCGACTCTGTGGGAACGTTGCAGCCTGTTCCTCTGTTTGCACATTTGCATGCTGAGTAGAGAAATCCTCTGGGGTGAGGCACAGCCTTTTTTTAGATGTACTTGTCATAGGGAATCGGCAATAATGTTCATTCATTCAACCTTTATTCAAACTTGGAGTACATTGAGGTATGGAGGCCTCCTTTGCTGTAGCAGAGTAGAAAATAAAAGATTTAGAAATAGGAAGCTTAGATAATAATATTAATATGAAAAGTTACTAAAATCATCAAAACATTACTAAGAGCATTTACAATCAAAATAGATTAATCAACTTAAACAAGAGCAGTTGGAGGTGAAATTGAAAACAGGAGTTGCCCCAAAGACGAAAATGAGTGAAGCTTCACATTGTTCTGCAGGTTATTTCAGGTTGCAGGTGCACAGTAAGTAAAACTGGATTTTCCATGCCCGGTTAGAACAGCCAACACCTGCAGCGTAATTCAGTCATTTGAGCGTGTTTGGTAAGAGCTCACATTAAAAGACGGCAATGAAGTTATGTAAGGGAGTAAGAAAAAAAAACAAAACACTGACAGGCCTTATAAATAAATAAAACCCAGAGAGTGAGTGGCCACCCAACCTCGGCGTACAACTCCCGGTGATGAGTACCGTAATTGTTCCCAGTGATAAATGTTAATGCCGAGTTGTAAACAGCGTCCGAGCCCTTAAGAGTCCCCGCTGATGCACGCGTAAAGTGTCACCACAATCGAAGACCAGAAGAGAAGTTGAAGTGAAGAGTTCATTAGCAAAAACTCCATTTTTGTAGATTTTTTTTGTATTTTTTTGTTGTTTGCTTGAGATGATATCAATCAAACTGAAGTTGAGTGGATTTGACTCAGTAGAAATGACAAAAATAAAGATAACTTAAGTGTGATTGATAGTTTCGCAGGTAGACGATGGAAAAATGGGTTTTCTGAAGGTTTGTGAAGATGGAGTTATCTGTTTTTGCAAATGAACCCTTCGAGTGTTTTTCTACAATGCACTGAGAAAGGTGATTTATTCCTGTAATTTAATTTTTATTATTTTTTTGTCATAGTTTAGTCACTAGTTTGGACACGTGATGTTTAAAAGTCGACTTCTCATCGATCCAAACTCAATGTTTTTGTGGATAACTCATTATTTGTACCAGGCAGAGGAGAGATTGCCAGATTGTCACAAGCAATATTTTTTGGCTTTTATTATATTTGGTTTTAATCTGCGCTGAGAAGTAATTTATGCTTATAGAGTTGTAGCTCAGCAAAGCGGTCCTCGCAGGGTGTTACGGCGAAATGTACAGCATCCACACTGCTGCACAAAACTCATAAAGATGTACATGACAACCAGATAGAGAGCAAATATCGATTTACCATTTCAAATTGCCGTCTGTCCATGAGGTAACTGTGAAACTATTCAAAAGCATTTTTAATAAAACCAACACTGTGAAGTCCAAACCAAAGCATGATCGACTGTATCAAGTGCCGTGGAAAGATCAATAAAAAGAGCTGCAAAGATCAATAAAAATCAATTTTTAAGAAAAGCCGTACGCAATCATACAGTGTGCGAAATATGCAGGAAATTGCTGTGTGTACTTCAGCTTCTGCCAATTGGCTGTCTGTAACTGTTTTACTGCCTCTTCACTCATGTCAGTCTCTCACTCTCCGCAGAGACAGCAGACTGGCTCGAAAACATTCATTTTCAATCGCTCTTTTTGTTTTATTTTCTTTAAGAGGTTCCCTTTTCCAGACCAGCTTTTTCTAATCATCTTATTCCACTCAAGCTGTTTGCCTCAGCAGAACCTCACATCACTTCTAATCACTGTATATAAACCAACACCCTCCCCCCTGTGTCACCCCCTCACCTCTGGGTCTCCTTGCTGAGATACTTCGTCCCCCTCTGAGCCTCAACTGGAGTCCGGCCAGGAGGCAGGTGGTCAGGCGTTTTGGGAAAGTGGGAGATGTTGCAACTAACTACCGGCCACTTGACCTCTGTTAACCACAGTTCAGTCCTTGCATAACACCAAACCTGCTGTGTGTTTTTTTTTTTTGCTGCAACAGCGCCGGATTACAAAAGAAATCTCCCCTTACCCCTCAGTGTTATCTACCCATGCAAATAGTTTTGGTGCCCAGTTTTTATAGAAATCCGTCTGAGATTTGTGCTGCCAGTCCAGCACAAGTGAGGTGTGGGGAATTCTGTTTGCAATGCTCACAGCATTGAATAATCACAGTTGGAAAATGTAGCCCAATCTTTTCTTTCCAGAAACAATGTCCCTGATAATCACAGATCCCAAAATAATCCACATGAAAACAATCACAGCATGTAATTATTCACAGCAATGGGGACACTGGCCCTAAAGGAAAAAAAAAAAGAAATTTAACTTTGTGATATTTTGAGCACCACAAACTATGTTTTTCCCCCATTGTGTTGGTGTTGAGACTTATACACAAACATCTCACAACTGTGCTGAACATATAAACCAAAACAAAACAAATGGAAAGACTTGGATTAGATTTATATTTTCTTTCATACTTGCACACTTGAAGAGATGTAAATGTTCCCCGTGCAGCCATTTGTCAGTTTATTTGGCACACGTAGCGAAAACAAATGCATTCCAATTAACTAATGAAGGTTGTGAAGGTTTCGTTGAAACTGTTTCTGAGAAATTCCCCTCTGTGATCCCTTTCAGTGTGCAGTTTGTGATGCTGCGGAACTGCTCTGCCTTATACAGAGATTTGTTTTTGTGCACTGAACATTAATGCCTTTTGTGAAGCTGGGTCAAACTGCACCAGTGGTGAAGATCCTTTACACAAGCAAAACTATTTAAAAATGCTCCCTTCCAAGTGAAAATCCTTAAAATAAAATTACATGAGTTTTAGCAGTTAAATGTAGTTAAAGTATTCAAATAAAAGTACTGTTGGATCTGTCTGACTGATGTGTTTTTATATATGATATGACATCATTGGATTATGAAGTCTCGATGTCAGTTACTTTTAGCTGCTGGAGGTGGAGCTAGTTCGACTTTACATACAGTTGTTTTGTTGTTTTTTTTTAAAAAACGGGGACAGCAGATAAATCCGGAGGCTCGGGAGATGATTAATGAGGTAGGAATAAAGAAAAAACAGACTTCTGATACACAAATCTGTTTTCAGTTCTTGGACTTTTCCCTGTAATCTTTGATTTTTGGTAAGATACTGGGTCATTTATTGAAGTGAAACCATGTGTGATGCTTAAAGTGAAGGATCATTATTCGGTGGAGCTGTTAAGAACTTATGGACTCAGACTACACACCACTTTATGTAACATGTCAGAGAGCAAAAAGGTCGGCAGCCACCGATTCAACAATATGTATTCTCAAAGCTTGTTATTTTATCGTCTGTGTTTAAAGGTCTTTATTTTGAAAGTAACTAAAGCTGCCGTATAAAAACAGTGGGGTAGAAAGCGCAATGTTTTCCTCTGAAATGTAGTAAAGAGGAAATGTAAAGTAGCATTAAATGGAAAAACTCGAGTAGAGATGCCTAAAATTTGTTTTTAAATACTTTAAATGTACTTACTTTCCACCATTGGATTGCATTCATTGTAGCTAGATTTTTGCTAAACAAAAAAAAAAACCTGGAAGCTGATGTAAACTCCTTCTACCCCTTTTCTATAACATTGTGGCTCGGCACCAGGTTGATAAAGAACAATTCTGTGAAATACTTTTCTTTAATTTCCCAAACAGCGCTCCTAAACTTGTCTATAATCACGTACACTCGGGCAGACGTGTTTCATTTTTCCAGCACTCACTAAAAGTCCAGCTCCTGGCTCATTTACCAGCTTATGACTTTCTTTTTTTCTTCATCTCCTCCCCCTTCTCTCCTTC